ACAGTGTAGCTGTTATCGGCGTGGAAAGTGTAATCAGCGTGCCGAGTTCAATTTCCGGTCGATTCTACTTCGTTCACTTCGCGCTAATGCTCTTCTAAAAGATATGAATTCATCTCCCCCATCTACGAGTTAAATAACAGAGAGGCCTGAGATACCTTGCTTAAGTGGCAACTAGGCTAGGGAAAATTTCAAATCCAGTCTGAGAAGAGATGGGCTCCGCCAGACTATCTTGCTTTGGACACACCACTGTTGCTACAGCTGCAGTATGTATGTCGCCTCCCTAATGGGCTACAGGGCACGAGACATTATTGAATACTACTTTTACTATGTATATTCCTGTCGATCAAAGATGCTTATTAGCTGAAACGGTACCCAGTCTTTGAGTTCTCATTAATCCTTGGATTTTGAATAATGGGTTTTTAAGATCCATGAGGCTTACTCTTTGACGACTGAGGTTACACAGTTTTCATTATATTTTATATTGTAGCAACGTGGTTGTGAGGAAACAGTGCGAGAACTGAACAAGAACTATTATTCCTCCAGTGATGATGAGATAGTGAATTTCTACACAGCAGCGAAATTTTAGGCACGTTGTTAAGGGAATTAAAGGATCAAGGAGGTTACTTTTAGGTCAAACAGCAAAAGCTACGGTTCAAAGCAGGATATGACTCTGATTGGTCGAAAGACAGAACCTTCAAGAAAAAAAATGTCAGCAAATTCTTTTCACTAATTGGTGCGCGTAATTAGTTTTGAAAAAGAAAAGACATTTTTTCCCCAATATATTTAGGAGTGCCGAAACACCCACGCCCATTCAAGAAAAAAGCCGGACCGGGTGGTTAAAATTTAATGTAAGGTACTCAAGCCTCAGACAGCCGTCTCTCCAGGCGATATCTCCCCTTCCGAAGGGAACTAGGGTTATTACTAGGCGCCTAGCATTCAACAGTGGGAGGACTTGAGCAATTTTTATTCCTAATCCCTGTACGCGTGGGCTCCCACATTAAACTCAATCTTGTGTAACATTCCGTTCGAATAGGTATGCGGGTAGATACCCACCCAGGGTCAGTTGGGTGATGGGCGAAGCGAGAAGAGGACACAATATCGGCCAGACATATAAGCTACTGTCTGTTCTTTACCTGCAGCCACTCGATATCAAAATGTAAGCCAAGGTGGAAATTCCGTAAATACAGATCAAAGACAAAATTTCCTCAGTCACCACGACCACTATCACGCTGGCTGGTTATATTATATACCCAATACACTATAAAAAAAAAAAAAAAAAAAAGAAGAAAAAAAGCCTCGACAAAACACATTGCTAAAAAAAAAATTTTTTTTTTATTTTTTTAAAATTTTAAAAATTTAAAATTCCCGGCGTTTTTCGCTTATGTGCATGTATAGTGACATCAGCATAAACAAACCTGGTCACAGGAAAACTTTTTCCACTTTACCATACATATAATCCGAAGTTAATGTGTAAATCACAAACTTTTATAGCTAAAAAAGTTCAGAACGAATATTTGTCAAATTTAAACTAGTCCATTTCAACTGTTGGTAAAATATCTAACTAAATTTCTAGCCATTTTTATAACCATTAAAATGGCGAGAAATTTAAATTTAGAAATTTATTTAGATATTTTAACAAAGGTTGAAATGGACTAGATGAGATATTTGGAATTCACGAAAATTCACTAACTGAAGTTATTACACAGATTAAACTAATATTAGTTTATGGCCTCTGAAATCTAATAAAAATTAATTTTTTCCTTTCTTTCACTAATATATGTGGAAACGCGAGTAATGGAGGGAATCTAATAAATGCTTAAAAACAGAAAATAACAAAATACAGTTAAGTGAGGGAATGTCCACATTGGAAATATCAAAGGAGATCCGCAAATAACATTGAACGATAAAAGGGGGTTGTTGAAAATATAACTACGTTGAGAACTATAAGCAAAGGAAAAGGCTTTGTCTCCTTGAGGGGAACGTAGAATAAAACAAGTTATAGAAAATCAACTATTTTTGACCAGGCCTTATATCTTTGAACCGGCTGGAATTGAGGAAGGACAAAGGTGTAGAATACTTCGCAAATTAGGATCTGTCAAGAAATCTCCTAGGCTCATCTCAGTAACGCAAATATTTTTTAAAGCGTCAAAATTGCTCCAATAAATACATGAAAATTGACTAAAGTAATTTTCACCAACGAATCTCTGGTGACCTGAAAGACTGACCAAAGGATGGATTCTATCCGATGCAGATGTGCCTGTGGCTAAAAGAAAGGAGCAAGGAGACGGCAGTGTGATATGAGCCTGAATTGTCCACCAAACCATTATTGGACTATTCAAAGTTGATGAAGGAGTCAAACTGAAAAGTGTTAACTATTGCGTTTTCATCTACAAGACTTTCTTTGAATGGTTCAAGTCACAAGCTCGCAGTTTTAAAGTGAAGTGTGTAATTATACACAACAATGCTTCTTCGCACGTATGTAAGGTTACCCGTGAATTTTTGAGCGTAAAATGTTTACAAGAGATAAGATAATGGAATGGCCAACATCAAGTCCCGATCGGAATCCGATTGAAAATTTATGGTTTATTGTGATGATGAAATTATATGAACGTGGAAAACAATATCAGTAAAACAAACTTCGGGGAAACAATTAAAACAACCCGTTGAAGTAAAAAAAAAGAAAATAAAAATCAAGGGATAATAGATTGCTGGTTGTTATTGAGAAGGTCACTACATAAAAATTTAAATGCTTCAAAGACTTATCAGATATGTTTGTTAATTGTTCTATTATAAGTGTTGATCAATTGTTGACAGTTTTATTACCTTGTTATTGAAGTAAAAAGTGATTTTCTGGTTTTGCATAATAACTTCAGATATTTTTTTAAAACTTTGCTTTGACACCTATTTAATCGTTAAAAATTTGATAAAATTGTTCAAAGCGAATTCGAGTTATTGATGTTTAATCGATTTGCATAATAACTTCAGACGTAATGTACAATTCTATCAACGAGAATATTAATCTAATCCGATAAAGTCGTATTAGGGGGCTAAACACATTACCCAGAATGTGTCCACTTTGTCTTTGTTGTGATATATAGAGATTAATATATCATATTCTCGCATTTACACACACACACACACACACATATATATATATATATTGTTCTTTAGCAACTTTATATCTATGCGGGCTGGGTTTAGGACTTAAGAGGCACTTTGGCTGATAGAATTCGGGGGCCTCTTCATCATGTATCTTCGTTACCCTGTGTCTATAAAAAGCAAAATATATTTTTAGATTATGCTTTTTTTGGTGTAAAACATGAAACACTTCAACTAAAATTTTTAATGATTTTGGAATTGATCCAATTTATTTCATTAGCAGCTTCGTGATATATTTTATCTGAACTTTACATCCTACAGAAATGTATGTAGAATGAAGGGCCTGTATAACACTGGTATTCTAGGATTCAAATTCACTAGCAAAGTATCTTAAAAAAAACATAAAGATGATGGAGAAGGAGAATTCTGACTTGCTACAGTCTTGAAATACTAGATCACCACAGCTGAAAGAAATATAATTGTCAACTTCAAATTGCCAAATTGTTCCAAATTTGTTCAAAGTAACCCCATTAAATGTGAAAATACACAAATTTTCTCGGTTTTTATATCTTTATTTTTATTCTTATTTTTCACCAGAGGCTCAAGATAGGAGGGTCTTTTGGGGGGCATTTCTAGTCTTCGGAACCCTTGGGCTGCAGTTCATGCTATCTCATATTTAAATCAGGCACTGTATCTCTGTATGTCTTTCCGTTGGATCTTGTTTCCTTAGCTGGGTTTTCATTTTATTAATATTGATTAATTCTTCGGACCATATGCTAAAATTAATTCTAATTGATTGCAGTTGGTCATATAAAATAAAAATATATCTGTTTATTTTTAAAGATTATATTATATTACAGTGATTTTCCAAGCATAGCTTAGATGTGGCGCAAGGCCGAAAGTAGGAGGGCACCCAGTGAGAACCGAACTCACTACTCAGTCGTAATTGTTACAGCGAGACAAGCGTGATAACCATTACATCACCTCAAGGTGCCTCGATTATATTATATATATGCGTATATTTTGGCAGCATGTTTTCAGTGAGACTTGTTTCATTGAATAATTTAGATAAGTTTAGTCCAATTATTTTCAACTAAATCCGTAAGAAATTTAACTTATAGATGGACACAACAATTTGTCTTTGATAATAATCAACACTACAATATTTGTTTGAGAGTGGGTTGTAAACTACAAACAAAAATCCTGGCCATAAATAAACCCAGACCGCTTCCCCCGGGATAAGATACCTTACGCCCCCGCCAATAGCCAACACAAACCCACTTTCATTAACAAGGCGCCTACTAGAGGAGGACTGACTTTGAAAATAAATTTAGAACAATGCTCTGAGACAAACACTTAGAGGCTGATGATAGCCGTGTGAAGAACGGTTTGAAATAGACTATAACTATGTTGAGGTAATTATTGGCTTTTTGCTGTAAAAAATACATATGCTCTGTTAAAATAAAAACATCGAGTTCTCTGTAGACCAGTTTTAATAATTAATATTACTAGGATCCACCCGGATTATATACCAACGGATCGATTACCTGTACTATATATATATATATATATATATATATATATATATATATATATATATAGGTGCGCGCACGCTCACACACACACACATACTCTCTCTCACACACACATATATGGTCATATGTAGGTTGGTACATAAACGAAACATGAATGTAAGAGGTTACTGAAAAGTTCTCAGCTCAACCAATTTCCAATTGTCTGACTAAAAGATCGAACATCAGAATTTGTTTTACTGTTTTACTTTTTTTTAAAGAATTTCTTAGGCCGAGATCTTTTCAGCAGCCCCTCTAATATACATCAACAGAAGATACATGCGGACACACACACACACACATATATATATATATATATAGATAATGAACAAGCTGAGAAAGAAAGAAAAAGAGAGCGAGAGAGACAAGGAGAGAGAGAGAGAGAGAGAGAGAGAGAGAGAGAGGGACGGATGGAGAGTGGGCAGGTATCGATGTCTCAGGATAAACAACACCGACGCATATCAAAACAAGTCTGTTTTCTGCAACTGCCGATATCTTTTTGACGTTCCGGATTGACTGAGTCAGATATTGCCGAGACAAGGGAAACGATGACGTAACTTTAATCGGCTCGGCAGCGGACGACATCAAAGGGGAAAAACACACATCATGTTTGAATGGCGGGGTTGGGGAGAGCAAAAAGAGGAGAGCGGGAGGGTGAAAGACAAATATATATATATATATATATACATATATATATATATATATATATATATATATATATATATATATATATATATATAGAGAGAGAGAGAGAGAGAGAGAGAGGAGTGGGTGATGAGAAAGGGCGTAAATTGTGTATCGACGCGAATTTGGGAAGAATGTGGGAAGGTGAACCTAAAAGTAGGCCAGAAATAAACAAACATTTCCTCTTTTGTAAACATGTATAAGAACGAATAAATAAAAGAGGAAAGAGATGAGTTTGAAAAATTGTTGAACGATAGTAATCAGAAAATACGCACACATCATCATATGTATTTGATTTTTATCTATCTATCTATCTATCTATCTATCTATCTATCTATCTATCTATCTCAGTCTGTTGATCTATCTATCCCAGTCTGTTGATCTATCTATCTATCTATCTATCTATCTATCTATCTATCTATCACAACTGCTTAGCTTCTATCTATTTATCAATCACAACTGCATCTATTTATCTAAACAAACTTTTTTTATATATATATATATATATATATATATATATATATATATATATATATATATATATATATAATGTATATTTAACCAGCAAGTATTCATTCAAGTATTGATAAATTCGAAAGAAGAATCTGCATTGTTATTGGTTCTGACCTGGCATCTCGGCTTCAGTCACTTTCCACCGCCGTAACATTCCTACCCTTTGCCTTTTTTTAGAAATACTTTCATGGTAACTCTTCTGATGAACTTTTCTCTATGAATTTAAGAGCAGTACTTGATTGTCAATAAGGTCTCATCATTTTACATACTGTATGTTGTATGTTAACTGAAATTTTGTATAAATTTGAAAATGAGAGATGATCGAAAGTACTTTAACAAAAATAACACGATTATGAACGTCGGACAGTTTTTATTCTCAGTTTCGAGCAGAATAATCAACACCTCAACTGACACTTTGTTGGTTCTTTTTAATCAAACTTGTTATATTTATATATATATATATATATATATATATATATATATATATATATATATATATATATATATATATATATATATATATATATATATATATATATATATATCAAAATAAAAAAAAAAGAACAGTCAGATTAATAATCCATAGTTATTTAGCATTTATTTTAAAAAAAGTGTTCGATACGAAGGAGGCATAATATTATAATATTTTTCTGAAGTTATATAACATCCCTTGAAAATGGAACAAAATTTTAATTTTAATTTTTAGTTCGAAACATATAATTTCTGTGTCGCGATGAAAATATATTTTTAAATAATATATATATATATATATATATATATATATATATATATATATATATATATATTTATATATATGATAGAAATTATTAGGAGGATTTCATAATTATAATTAAGTTATCATGCATAATAACCTAACTGTCAAGGTTTCAATTCTCAGTAGTGGATGCGCACTGCTGATAAGTCACAAATATAGGACGAAACGGCCGTTCAGTGCTTTCTGCATTCTGTTGAGGTTTCTTTCAGACTCGATGAATATATATATATATATATATATATATATATATATATACTAGCCGAGGTACCCGGCATTGCCAGGGTGTACATGACTGCAACTGTATAACCGCACCCCTGTATACCGCACCCCAAGTGTTTGATTGTTTATAATAACGGAATTCCATCGATAACACCTTCTTGGGTGGTCGTCGCTCGTGGTTAAATTGTTTCAATGTTTTAGATATTCAGTAAATTTCCTATGGCCATAAGAACTTTCAAATAGTATGGCATTGTTCACAAATCAAACAAAACAAGGATAAAGCGTCAGAGATTGATTCAACTGCAGGTGCAAACGCATGAAAGCCCCTTCCTTCTTCGCTCGTTTACTGTAAAGCTGGGGTTAATAAGAGGTTCTTCGGGAATATTTCCCTTTTAACGCTTCAATAACTCTTCTCAAACAATCTTTGCGTTAAAGGTTGTTCGAATGCCAATTTAGGATGGAATCATATGAAAAAACTGTTCCCTTAATGGCAAAAGCCGATTTTAGACCTAGTTTGTCGCAGATTTCGTCCACTGATCTGAAATGATCTAAACCAAACATTTACGTAAGACAATTTGTGTGTCATATGTAATTTACATAGAAAATTTGGAAAGCATCGGATCAAAAACAATTTTTCGTGGTTTTCTGTTATCTGCGGGGAAGCAAGCAGGACTAAAACCACACTACCTTATTTCTTTAATGATGGCAAAGTTTTTTGCGTCATGTTTTGTAGAAAATCAGATAAAAAATGAGGAAGTTATCCAAGCTTTTATTTTAAGTAATACGAAAAACACGTTTTTTTCACAGTTTTTTTGCAATTTTTTGTGTGAAGCCAATATCACAAGAAAACTATCAAGCACTCTACATAAACCTTATAATATGAGCTGGTGTTTTGCATTAAGTGCAAAGAACATCAGCTCATCCAGTAAAAATTTTGTTCGTGGGTAACTTTGCCTAGTTTTTTTGCCAAAGTCGTACCCACCTTCAGTTTTATCTATTTTTTGCCAAACAAGGTGGGGGTGGGGTGGGGCGTGTGAAGATTAAAACGTTAGTCTTGACCTAAAATCATAAATTTGCAACATATATGTAAAATTTCATCGAAATCGGTCGAGAAATGTGAACGTGAATAAATGGCATATACAGTCACATATACAGACACATACGGAATTTTCTGTTATATATATATATATATATATATACCCACATGTACTCACATATACAATCAGACTTTAATCATTTACAATCATATATATTTAATTCTAGTAACATCAAAGGACTCGAGTGTCAAGTATGCACTGCATGCCGTCGGTCTACCTTTAGAAACCCAAACATTTTAAAAATATCTTACATGGCACGAAATACGATATGCGGCTGATTTTACGTACGACTATTTTATCGTATCACATGATTATGAATACGACTATTTTATCATAACAGACACGAGCGCATGTGCACGGACACGTCCGGGATAAGCGAAGAAGAGAAGAGAGACACGCATATAGTAAAAAGAAAGAAAGAAAGAAAAAAGAAAAGGCAAAAAGAATGGGAGAAAAAAGAAAAGGCAAGAGAATGGAAGAAAAAAGAAAATGGAAAACAGAAAAAAGTAAAGATAAAGGAAAGAGGAAGTGACAAGAAAGAAAATAGAGTACTGAAAGTTGAGTGAGAAAGTCATATGAAGAGAAGAGAAAAGATGAGTTAAATGAAGAGTGAAGAAAAGAGAGAAATGATGAAAGGAGAAAAACAGAGAGAGAGAAAGAGAGAGAGAGAGAGAGAGAGAGAGAGAGAGGAAATGGAAAAAACTAAAAAGGGGGAGGAAGAGAAAAGAGGCAAAAATGCAAGGAATAGAGAGCAAAAGAAAAAAAAGTGTGAGCGAGTGAAAGAGAAGTGAAATAAAAAGAGAGAGAATAAAAGAGAAACGAAGATAGGAAAAGTGGGAGAGGAGAAAGAGAAAAATGGTGAAGAGGAAAAAAAGAAACGATGAAAAGAGATAAAGAATTTGAGAATGGGTGAAACAGAGGAGATAGATAGATAGATAGATAGATAGATAGATAGATAGATAGATAGATAGAAGAGAGGTAGAGAGAAAAAGAGAAAGAACTGAGGAATCTTATTCTGAGTATACTGTGATAAAAGTTACAAAACAGAAGATTTGTTTTCTGTAGAATTTAGTAACTTTAGCATAGGATATTTTTTCTTTCCTCAGCAAGTCGAGAAAATTCATGTTTTCCCATTTTTTTTTACACTGGTTTTCGACCTGTTCAAAACCCAGGAGCCACTCGAGGTAGAAGGTTACAGAGTAAGAAGCACAGTTTGTGCAAATATGTGGGGAAGATAACGGTTGATCCTAGACTTAAACAGATTAAGATTGTAGTGATCGGAAACACGTCCTCTTGGAAGTCAGTTCCACAGAGCAGTGGTTCGCGGGAAGAAGCTGCTCGAGTGGGACTTACTTCTTACCAGTGGCGTATCGAGGGGTGGTTCGCCACAATGCGCGTAGCATGGCGGATCCGAATAGTGAAGGTTAAAACTGGTGGAATTGAAGAATGTAGTTCGTTTGAGCACTTTCTATAGAAGTATCGACAGAGCAGTTAGAGGCTCGCCAAACTCGCTTGTGTGAGAGATTGGAGTTTAGAAAAATAACTTGTCACACGTAAGGACGCAGAGACGATTTTCATCTCTTTCGAGACTGTAAAGTGAAGAATGGGCAGCTGCTACCCAAATATGACAGCAGTACTCCATTTTAGGCCAGATCTGACTTTTGTAAATGTAGAGTTTGTACAATGTACAATTTATTCTATTTCATTCCAGCAACACCTTACGTCTTGGTGTCATTAACGCCTTGCTTGGGGTGAAATGATTAAAATATACCGTCATGAAATTATTATTTGTAGTGGTAATCGAATTTAAATATGCGAAGAGTTGAAATTTAATTTTGAGGAGGTAGTGCGGCCCTGGGTCAAGAGAGTGGCTACTGGAAGATCCTATGTCAGGCATCAGAACTTTGTACCATACCACACAAGCAGGAGTCATGGTTGTCTGACAATATCTGCGACCACATCACACCTTATATCTGGCCACCTAACTCCCCAGACTGCAACTTCTTTGATTATTATGCGTGGGGCAGAGTTGAGTATGAGACCAAAAAAAAAAAAAAAAAACTCCTTGTAACACTGCAGGCAAGGATTATGAACTGCATTCACTGAAGGCAAGGATTATGGAAACATTCACCAACTTAAATAAGGAGACCGTCCAGAAGAGTTGCAAAAGATTCCGAAATCGTTTGGAGGTCGTGGTTGAAACCAAAAAGTCAGGTACTTACTGAAGTGGTACATGGAACCAAGGAGTCAGGTACTTACTGAAGTGGTACATGGAACAAAGGAGTCAGGTACTTACT